AAAATGGCAGCGGTTTTCTGTCTTTGCTAATGTTTCAATGGTCATTCCCCTTTTCTGAGTAATCTTTGTAAATTGAATTGAGTATGCGACCTGAGAAAATTAAATATCCTTTTCCAGCTTCGAAGTTATGAAATAGAGATATGCACTGTGGCTGATTTCTGTCCCTGACCTCTAGAAATATTCATGATTCGAAAAAACTGGATTCACTGGTATTACTTTTCGTTAGCAAGAAGTACTATGCAAAAACTTTTTGTTGTAGAAAGAGTTCTGTGCTCTCTGTTGACGATTAGAATAAGGTCAAGCTGCACATCTCTGTTATGTGATTCTTGATCTGCACTACTTGATGCTAAAAGAACCTATCATTTTCCTGTCTATGCGAGCAGTTCTCAAAATCTTCAGAAAATCTAATCAGCTAAATTAGAGTTTTGTTTTCTAAATAAGACGTCCCTCATATCCGCAACGTCGATTTACCTCTAATTCTAACTCAGATACTTGAGATCATATCTCTAATAATTGTTTTTCTTGTAAATAAAATCCACGGACCAACTTGATCAATTTTGTCCTCTATACACAACGTCCCACACAAAGTTGATTTCCCTAGAGTTGATCCATGTAATACATGACTGATGCTCTATGGTCGTCAAAATCTTTTGGACTTCAGCGCGACCACCACTATCCGGCAGTATTTCTCGGTCTTGCACTTGCAACATTAATGATCTCTCTCATTCGAGCTGATTATTTCTTTTTTTTATTATTACGCGGTGCAACAGCTCTCCATAACGGCATGTTAAGTGGCGTATTATACAGTTCACTAAGATTCCATGAAAGTAACCCAGTTGGTCGCATTCTCAATAGATTTAGCAAAGATCAACAAGTTATTGATGAACTATTGCCTCAGGCATTTTTTGACAGCTCTCAGTCTTTGATTATGACTCTAGGTGCTATTGTTATTCTCGGCATTATTAATCCGTGGGTATTGTTCATATTAGTTCCGCTTATACCCTCATTTATCTGGCTCAGACGATTCTTTTTGAAATCAAGTAGACAAATCAAACGTTTGGATAGTGTCACAAGAAGTCCTATATATGCTCTATTTTCGTCATCACTTAGTGGATTGGTAACAATACGTGCGTTTAAAGCCAGAGACAATTTGATTACTTCGTTTGTCGAAAGAATTGATGCAAATACGAGCTCTTAATCAACTTCCTAGACCAAGATATAAGCATCACAAATTTGACTTTTATACAAGTGTCGTTTTAGGCTATTTTTAGGGCTTTTACGAAAAGCTCTATAACTTTTTAACGAAGTAAGTCCGAACGAAAAAATTTAGGGAATCTTCCTGTATATGTTGCCTCTACCTATGGTAAAATCCTGAGTCAAAAACTCAAACACCGATTGAGCAACTGGTACGCAAAAAAGCTGTGCCACTCGTGCAATGACTCTTAGATACTAATTCTGAGAGTAGAAATTGCGGACTGCAGGACAGTGTCAGTATCTCCGATGAACGTGTTTATAAGGAAACTTAAATTCCTAAGGTGACTGGGGTCCCTCCTGAACGATTCTCCATGCAACAATGTAATGTATACTGCAGAACGTGGAGACCCCTCATTTCGATATAGCATTTATTGCTGCCGTTTTGCTGTTGCATAGACTGGTACTGTAGAAGCAAGGATTTCGATTTCGATGGATAGATTTGGCGAGACAATCAAACACTTGACTAATTGGATTAATATTAATTGTCACATTGAATTTATTCATTAAGTGCCAGACGTGTTCTCACATTTCTGTGTGACCAGCAGAGGGGTATCAGAATATCAGTACGCAGTGTATTCTCAAAAAGAGACTATTTTTTTCGAACTTGCTCGGCTTGCTGGGCTTGGTGTATTCTCACACTAAGCCCAGCAAATGTATTCTCAGTGACAATACACGAGAATATACCAGAATACGCAAATATATAAATTTCTATACAATGTACTCGGCTTGATAAGCTTAATGTATTCTCATTGCCAATACACACATGTTGCATAGTGGCTCACCCTCATGCTGTACCTCCTCCCCCTCGACCGCGATACTATATTATGTGTTGTCAATGAGAATACACCACCCAGCACATTTTATAGAAATTTATATATTTGCGTATTCTGGTATATTCTGATGTATTCTCACTGAGAATACACGAAGTCCAGCAAGCCCGTTCTACTTTATTGTAAGAAGTTTCGTTTCTTGTTTGTTGTTATCCTTCGTTAGACAGCTAGATAATGCATCAAACAACAAATTTACACAACAAAAATTATTTGCCATAATTGTTTCTGAACAGCATTTGTTGTTTTATCTCATCTAAAGTTTTTATAATTCAAGATTCTGGATAAATGCGTCTCGTTGAACGAGTAGTTCGACGCTGTGAGAAATCTTCAGAATATGAATGTGTTCGTGCGTAAATGTTATCAACCGTTGTAAATTGCAGTGGTTATCGTGACTTATGGTCGTTGAACAAAATAGGAAAGTAACAGAGTAAAGCCCTCCCCCCATAATAGAGGACCACCCGGTCTTCTATTTTGTCCCGCAAGTCAAGTTCTAAAGGATGGTCTTCAAGGGTGGTTCTTCCTTAATATTCTACTACGCAACAATGCATCTAAGAAAGTTGTTTTTGAAAAAAGAGATTTAATCCTTAGATTTCATTCTGTTGGAGCGCAAAGTCAACTTTTTGTTAATACAGCGGTATTCATTGAAATAAATTTTTTGTAATTATGGTTACAAAAGCGAAATTCTGCAGAAATCTGTATATTCTTGTAGGGTAAAATGTTTATAACATTCTGTGTTAGTTCGAATAATACAGAAGTCTGTCAGTATTTGGTTTTAATCAAGAATTTTGTAAACATTTTTTTCTAGAAGAATATACAGATCATTGCAGAATTTCGCTTTTGTAACCATTTTTCGCGTTACGCAAAATTATTTGCTATATTCTCGTGTATTCGCACTGAGAATACACCAAGCCCAGAAAGCCCGTTCTACTTCATTGTAAGAAGTTTCGTTTCTTGGTTGAGAATACACGAAGCCCAGCACATTTTATAGAAATTTATATCGTTGCGTATTTTGGTATATTCTCGTGTATTCTCACTGAGACTACACCAAGCCCAGCAAATCCAACAAACCCAGGAACTAGTGTCTCTTTGAGAATTCACTGCGTACTGATATCCTGACATCTCTGGACCAGTATGATCGTTAAATCCTTTGATGGTTGGATTCTACCTTGTTTTTGATTTCAATCAAAAGTTAAAAGAGTACCATTTTCGCTGCGATGAGTTCGATGGTACGGGCCTTCTTTACTGTGACTACCAACCTTTTTGCTTAGATAAATACCAGAACATATTCCAGTATATTGTTCGTCTGTGATGAGTCTTGTGGTGACGCTGCACATCAGTTGAATTACGAAGAAAAAGAAGTAACCGGTTACTTCACTGCAACCAGTGACGGCGCGAAGAGGTTGGGAGCATGAGGGGGTAAATCCAAAAATAGCAGTAAGGTCTCCAAAAATAAGCCCCTGACTCTCCGAGCATGGTGAAGTATAAATAATTGATGAGCATCACTCATTAAGTTTGCCTAAACGTTACATTCACTGTAATCTTCTCAGACGCAGGCGGAAAAAAATAGAAATAAGTCATCTAAGTCGGTTAAGAAGGCTTCTTCAAAGAGCACATTTAATATCAGTTTTCGGAGAAAGCTGCGCTTTAGTATTCGAAAAAACCACAATCGGAGTAAATCATCCCTCAGGTTTCTCCAAAATTCGGAGTAAATCGTTCTTATCTTTTCCCACATTTGGGAGTAAATCGTTCATATTTTTTTCACAAATTGGGAGTAAATTTGACCAAATTTTTTAAAAAGTATGGGGGGGGGAGGTAATCCCCCCCAAATCTAGTATTCTAGATGAATCGGGCGATACTAGATTTTTCTTTAATGCTTGGGTCTAAAGGTATATAATCTTTCTTTAGAGAGTGTTTTTCCTTTTATTTCTTCTCTCTCTCACGCCCTTTGCACGAAGGGCACACAAAATCAATTATTATCATAATAATAATCATTTATTACTGACTGCCTATCTCTCTATTCTTTCTTTTCAAGGTGCATATAGCTTTACAATCAAAACGGTCGGAATTCCGTGTTCTAGTATACACCTCAGATGGCTTCGGTCATTTGAAGATGTCCAAGGCTATGGAAAAGTCCTGAGCCTTTTACCTTTACCCTACCAGAGACTTCGTACTCTTTAGAATACCTTTTCTGAAACTTATCTATGGGCAGAAAAGTCAAGCGCCACACAAAGCTGAAGTAATAACAGTAAACAACCAAATTTGCCGAAACAGTTAAGAGGGGCACACAAATCGCTTTCCATGCAAGAAAATCGCATTTAAATATCCTAATAATTTCCAGCTTTTCACAATCTGTGGGAACCCGCATCATGGAAAAGCAGTCTGAGGAATCATGCACATTTCTCTTGTTTGCAGGATGCTACACTCTGGTGTTCTTTCCTGCCAATTTTCTACTAAGATCAGCTATTTCACGTTTAAGAATAATTAACGGCTAATGAAGTGCGTATCATTCTATTCCACATGCTTGTACACATGCATTATCTCAACACAGACGGAAAGGAAAAAACAGAAATACAAAATATTGTTCAGTGTTATGTAATGTATGTTGAATACAATGATGTGATCTTCATCAGTACGAACACTTTGGTTGATTAATAAGTACTTAAATGCTCAGCAACATCCCTCCCATCATCTTTGTCACAATAAGCGTTTAAATACCGTCTTTTATCTTTTTATTTTGATAAGTACATCTTCATGTTATTTTTTTCTTCTTCTTTAACACAATACGTAGTCATTACTGGTAGAAAAAGAATCCAGACAAAAGAAAAATCGAAGAAGAGACAAAAGTGTTAAATAGACTAAGCGATGGAATGCGACCACGACCACACGGTAAACAAACAGTTCTCTTATTCTTCTTCTTTACTGACCACCACGTAACCGCAACACCAAATGGAGTGTTGACTCTTTTTGTATATTGTAATCCGACAACTAGAAGACGGAAGATGAGTTTAGAAGTGAGAAAGAGGAGACTATGTGAGAATGCTTACCGTTCGACCATCTTCTAATTGTTTGCCTGCAAAAATCAATCGTTGCTGATCGGGTGGGATGCCCTCTTTGTCTTGGATTTTAGCTTTTACATTTTCGATTGTGTCAGCCGGTTCTACTTCAAGTGTGATTGTTTTGCCTGTCAACGTTTTCACGAAGATTTGCATACCACCACGTAGACGTAACACCAGATGGAGTGTCGATTCTTTCTGAATGTTGTAGTCGGACAATGTACGTCCATCTTCCAGTTGTTTCCCTGCAAAAATCAATCGTTGCTGATCGGGTGGGATGCCCTCTTTGTCTTGGATTTTAGCTTTTACATTTTCGATTGTGTCAGCCGGTTCTACTTCAAGTGTGATTGTTTTGCCCGTCAACGTTTTCACGAAGATTTGCATACCACCACGTAGACGTAACACCAAATGCAGCGTTGACTCTTTCTGAATGTTGTAGTCGGATAACTACAAGCGAGGAATATGTTGAGGAACGGAAAGGTAGAGGGAGAATACTTTAAGAATGTCCACGTGTACATAGGTAATACCTTTTGACCAAACACTCGCTACCCAGACGAAATAGTACCTTTGAAAATTCCGGTATTTGTGTGACATGTAGCAGCATGTGAGAACGATATTAGACTCGTCTTTTCCTAATCATTCTTCCAGCACCACGTTTTGGTACAACTAACATTTATTTCAGTAAGCGTTCTCTAGCATGCGCTTTAGTGGAACCATATCAAGACAAACAGGATTTTGCCTGCCCTTTCGGACAGATTCGCTCTCAAAAATTAGAAAAATCGTTATTTATATATATTTCTTGATAACATTTTCGATATGTGAAACGCGTCTCGTGTATCACGACTATCATACCTAGTCGAATAATTGCGTCAGTCTTTCTTTCATTTCAACTTGTTCTCAGTAAGTGTGTGCGAAGAATTGATTATATTGCTACTAAGTGACCTTCAGCTTTCCTGTAGGAGCACTACTTGAGATATTCAACCTCAGGAGGTAAAGCTCTTCACTATTTGCCGACGTCATTAGAGTATTACTCTTGATGTACAGAAAAAGACTACGTACTGTTCGACCATCTTCCAGTTGTTTCCCTGCAAAAATCAATCGTTGCTGATCGGGTGGGATGCCCTCTTTGTCTTGAATTTTTGCTTTTACATTTTCGATTGTGTCAGCCGGTTCTACTTCAAGTGTGATTGTTT